GTCATGCCCGGCTAATTTTTTGTATTTTTTAGTAGAGACGGGGTTTCACCGTGTTAGCCAGGATAGCCTCCCAAAGTGCTGGGATTATAGGTGAGAGCCACCGTGCCTGGCTGCTAGTTTATTAAAGAAGTAAGTTAAGAGCCACTGGTGGCTTTAGACCTTGGTGGTTCCTCTCTGTCTAGATACATGATGCTCCCCAATACCCCCGAGCCTAACCACTGCCCCAGGGCCTATTTCTGGATCAACTGCTTGCCTGCTCTGGTACCAGGTCAATGCCAGGTTAGGAGTTTACCTAAATCTGTTAGCCTCCCAATTTGTTTCCTTACTAAAAACAAAGGGAATAAGACAGCCATGGTGGTAAACAGAAGGCAAAGCAGAAAAGCAGATCAGACAAAGGGTCCCTTTTGTGAACGGACTCCTCAATATGAGCTTTCCCAAGCCTGCGTAGGCTCACACAGTAGAGGGTCATTTCTAAAAGGGCACTGTTGCACACTGAAGGACAAGGTCACTAAAGGACTTTATTGATTTATAAATTATTGCCAAATATAAAGTCAATATATAATCTTCTGCAGGAGAACCTTGAGAATCCTTGAAACTGTCAACCCGAATTCATAATTCATTCTCTCCAAACCTACTCACACTACTAAAGACATTTCTTTCTTTGTAATTATAATTAATTCCTTGCTTTTTCTTCTGATGATAAAAGTTCTAGTAAGGTAAGAACACACACACACACACACACACACACACACGTGCCTTGACCGAGGTGGTCTATATCATTAAATAAATCAAATTTTAGAAGAGTTAGGCCTTATACATATATTTATGAGATTTTGAAGTCAATCTTTTACCTGCATTGAATGAATCATTTCTTTGGTGAAACGATAGGGATACAAGATGTTGTGAATTTTAACTGCTAAGCTCTCAGCCTGGCCACTGCTTACATCAACAGCAACCTAGAAAGACTCAGCAAAATATAATTGAAATTTTAATTTTTGTGTCAGCAGAACTGTTTTACCAAAGATATCAGAGTGCTTTAAAAGCATTCATTTTTATATAGCCTACTAGAGGTGGGTTTAATTCAGGGAATTTGTAGAAATTCAAAAGAATCGGCCGGGCACTGTGGCTCACGCCTGTAATCCCAGCACTTTGGGAGGCCGAGGTGGGCAGATCACGAGGTCAGGAGATTGAGACCATCCTGGCTAACACGGTGAAACCCC